GTAAAAAGGTTTATTTCTGTTTTTTTTTAAAATGTTTATAACAATATAAGCATTACATATATTCTACCCCCTTTCCACTCTTTCCGAGATGAAAAAAAAGGTTATGGCTACAGTTGCACTTAAAGGACAGGGACAGCTGGCATTCCTGCTGCAAGAATCTGTAGGATCTTGCCGTAGGAATCCTCCCAAGGCAACACGAGTCATCGTGTGAGTGGGGCCTAGCAGTGTGGCTTTCGTTTAGGAAACTATTCATTCTAAAATTGAATGTTAAAACCAAACAAAATTTCAAACCACATTCTACAAGCCTCTGATGGCATTATTGAATGTTCTAATGAGAGATTTCCTATGAACTTTTCTATCAAAGTGTATGGCCAGCTTAACGGAGTCATAAAGTCCCAGCATATACTATCCTGTTACAACATCAGCATTTTATTAGGAGGAGTGCAACCTTCTGTTTACTCATCACTTTAATCAACTTCCTGGATTTCCATTGTGCTTAGCATCTCTTTCCCTGCTGCTTGATATGATGCAATCTCGATTTCTCCAGACTAAATAGCCCATCATGCATTGCTTCAGGCAAGTAATGATATTGTTACATTATGGAGTTGAGTTGTAGTTCAGAAGGCAGGCTTAGTTAGAGTGTTGTCACAAGGAAGTACATTTTCATACGGTTAAGTGAAATTGAGTGGCTGCATTGAGGAAGTACATCCTAAGTTTACATGCTTCCAGATTGATATGGTTATTAGGAGTGCGATAGGAATCCAATATAACAATACATATTTATTTTTTGTTTTTGACCATAGATATCCTTTAATAAAATCCAGATATTAAGTAATGCAGGAAAATATATTATTGGTACAGATTGGCTTAGCCAACACCTGGGCTGTGAGGGTCGGACTGGACATACTGTACATCTGATTGTATGCTTGTAAATTCCAAGTTTTATACTACAGTCACGCTAGAACTTGAAAACTGTCAAGAACTGTGAGTCACTTCCATCTGCATGAACAAATGACAGAGGCCAACAGGTCTTCTCAACACATCCAGCCCTCTATTCACTCACTGATTGGATCAGTTAGCGGCACAGCTGTTCACAGCACCGAGCAACAACTGACAGTGAAACCTCACTAGATAGATCGACATTTTCTGTAGCAGTATATATCATAATGTGTTGTTTTTTTCTGTCTTTTACAATGAGGAGAGACTTGATTATTTTATTATGTGTTGTAATGAAGTACTACTCTGCACTTCTTAGTTTGTCCTTGGTGCCTTTTCCAGGAAAACGCACCTCCCGTGGGGATAAATGTTTATGGATGTAAAACGTGCCTAAAATGTATCCTAAAACTGATTGCACTGACTTTGTAAGTCTCTTCTGCCAACAGTACTCTTTCTTGTTGATCTTAGCAATTTTTTAGGCTCTGTTCATATCTATGCAATGCAGGAGCACGTGTGATGTTCCAATGTTAGGTGCAATGCGTTGCAATTATTTCTTAATGGCACCCCAGTGCACCTACCAATCACATGTTTGTTGTATAGCATCACATAGCATGGTACCCTTTAATCATGCCATGCGATTTAAAAAAAAGGTGTACATACTTTAGGGCTGCAGCTAACGATTATTCTCGATTTTAATCGACTAAATCGATTAACTGTTGCAGCTCTAACATACTTCTTTCCGTACGATTTAGCTGCAGTAGGCAGCCAATTTAATTCAATGGTCTGCCTACCGCAGAGCACCACAATAGCACTCTGCAGCACCTCTGCGATGACGAACGAGAGCTTAGTGTACACTGTTTGTGGCACATGTGCAGACCACTCCCAGCATCTGTTGCTAAGGGTGGAGCTGGGTGCTGATATGATGCAACTACAGAGTCCAGGAATTACATTGTTGATCACGCAATAATCAAAGAGAGAAGATGCCGAACCCAAAAAGTGGAGGAGAAGATGACAAGTGTGGGCTTGAGGGCCATGGTTGGGTTTGAGGACTGGCAGCCAATAGGGATTGTGGCGGGCTGAGCAGCCAAAAGGGATTGTAGGGCTTTCAGCACTGGAGGAGGGCAAACCCAGAAGTAAGTCTGCCATCATGTACAAGTAGGCTATATCAAAGATTGCCTAATATCGCCCATGCTACAGATCTGCTTTAAACTCCTGCAAGGGAATGGTCTGTGTACATAATTAAGCACTATGGAATTTGTTGGCACTCTAAAAATGTATAACATTAATAAATATTTGCTACGGATCTGCAGCTATATTCTGTGCAAGTTCTCCAAAATTATATGCATTACAGTAATTAAAAGAAAAAAATTCTACTTCCTTTTTTCGTGACATCAATTTTAATGAAGGCCTGTTCACTGATAAGAAAAGCATTAGCCAGCCATTAATGGCAGCACTCAGGAAGTGGGAGCCTGAGGGAAAGACAAGTGCAATCACAGCATGAGTGAAAAAGATGACATAAGTAGCGTATTTTGTAGCACAAAAATGTGCCGCTAATGATAAAGGTCATTTAAAGCCTCTTAATGGGAATATCCCTTAGCAACTCATTTCATGTCCAGAGTACCGAATTCCAAAAATATCCCTTTCTAATGAAGCGCACACTATTGGCTAGTGTAATTCTACCATCCACTGAAAAATCAATAATAATAATAAAGGAAATAAGGACTGTGAATCTTTTTGACATTAAGATGCGGTTTGGATGTTCTCTTCCTTTTATCTACATTACAGAAAAAACAATTGGGAAAAGTAATTAAAGGAGGTGTCTAGGACAAGTGAACTTAACCATATATAAACCCATGAACAAAACATTTACAGGGCTATTCACCAAAGGGTGAAGAGTTTGGAGAAGGCAGAAGTGAACAATCTAGGGCAACATAGCTGTACTGGAAAGTGAGCTGAATTGGAGAATTTTTCCAAAACAGCAATGTTGTCCTAGATTGTTCAATTCTCCGGCCTTCTCCAAACTCTTCACCCTTTTGTGAATAACCCTGTAAAGGTTTGCAGCTTACCAGACTTTGAATGTGGTGTCCCCTTTTCCTCCTCAGTTGTCCCTCTTTTTGGTCTGATGTATGCATATCTATGAAAAAGCACTTTTTCATAGCCAGTACAAAGGAAGCGTAAAACAATTATGGGCTTAACCAATAATTTTTTACATAGGCCAATTTGCTGTAAGAAGGTTACAAAAATGTCCTTCCTGACCCCATACCGAGGATCAGAGAAATGACTGGACCAATCACCTATCTTATGTAAGAATTCCCCTAACTTTGTACATTTATGCCTATTGTGCCAGAATATTTTTTTTAAATTGATCAACACTCTCAGCTGATACCACTTCCTGGGTAAGAGTTCCACACCTTCACTGCTCCAACAGTAAATAACCCCTTTCTCAATTTTGGATTAAACCTAGTTAAACCATCTTAAATTGTGACCACGTGTCTTCTTCATGGACCATAGAGTAAAAAGGTTGTTACACTTTATATATAATCACCTTTGATTTTTTTAATACATTGTGCTAGATTGACATCTATGGTGGGTTGCTTTTAAGCTGGCAGGTTTGTGAAGCCTTTTTCCCCTTTTGCCTTTCTTCAGGAGGATGGGATGCAGATGGGAAAGGCCCCAATGTCTGGGATACATTCACCCATCAGGGAGGAGACCGCGTTTATAAGAACCAGACTGGAGATGTTGCTTGTGGCAGCTACACTCTGTGGGAGGAAGATTTGAAATGCATCAAACAGCTTGGATTGACTCATTACCGCTTCTCTCTTTCCTGGTCACGTCTGTTACCTGATGGGACGACAGGTTTTATCAACCAGAAAGGTAATTGTTTCTTACGGATACAAGGTTGAAGCTTTAATCAAGGTTATTGCTATTGTCTGGCATAATTAATTCCGGGTGTTCACAAGCATCAATCTATGTAGTGGTACATTGGGAAGATCAAATAAAGAATGTCAACTATATTTGCTGTCTATTAATAACATGTTCTAATTAGTATAATATGTGATGTATTGACTTTGTACAGCCTTATCACTGTGTTTTCGCCATTTAAATGATATTGCTTGTCAGAGAATATCTGTACATGTAAACAATATGTGGGAGCTGCAGATATATAAATCAACATTTCCTGCAATTAAGGCAATGCTGCTGGGTAAAACAACTGAACAAATTCTGTGTGCGTAATTTTTCTATCGTATGGTAGAAAATTACGGCAACACTGGACATATTGTTCAAATTAAGTTACGTAGGGCCCCTGTTTGGCTTGGCAATAGGTAAATTGTGGCTCTTCTTCTCACGAGTAACTACATTGCAGTATTTCCTGATATGCCAGCGGACTTCCATGTTTTTACATTCTCGCTCTTCTATATTTTTTGTCATGAAATTAAATATAGAGATTTGTAAATTTGCCTCTAGAGGGAGCTCTATATTTCATTTCACACTTCCAGCTTTTTAAGATAAAGGGCCATTGCAAAGTTCTCTAGGAAAAGCTGGCTGCAAGGCTCTCATGCTGATGCGCTTGCTTCAATATTTTAAATCCGACGCCAGGAATAAGCATGCAGCTAAGAGTATTTCCTAGATTTCCCTTACCTACTTACTTGTACCAGGGCAGTAACTAAAAAAGTATTAAACTCAAAGGGTCAGCAAAACAGCCAGGCATGTATCATTTTCAGAGGTAGGTATGTCACCATATGTGTTTCATCATAGGTTTATTTTACCAAATGTTGAGATGGGTGAGCAGAAACATTGGGAGTACACTAATGGGCCAGGAGCTCCACAGAAATGCATATAAGAAGGAGCAATAAAGCACAACCACTGTGTAGCCCCACCCCCCATGCCAATCATGAAAGGAAATATCAACTTTTTTGGAGGAAGAGCAACGGGACAACCACACCACACCATTGCAATGCATCACCCATTAAAGAGAACATACACTGTATTTTTTATGAGTATGTATTTTGAGCTGGTAATATAATGTTTTCCTTAAAGAAATTGTTTATGTGACTCTCACATTTTACAAGCTCGCTGTTTCATATCTGCGTTATTGTACTAAATATAGGGATTTTTATAGGACTCTAGAGAAAGCGCAGATACATATCAGCCATACAGGCAGGGAATTATTTTTATTGGGTCAGCTGACTCAGACTTCCATTATGAGAGGAAGCAGTGACACACAACCATTATGTTGCAGAACACAAAGATGATGTGTGTAAAGAGCAAATATGACTGGCCCATGCACATATACAAACTGTTTTTTAATTCTTTAATTCTTATATACTAACTAGGCTTTTCTTTAAAGCTGAACTCCTGCCACAAATTTTTGATACAGCACTAGGCTCACTTGTCCCTCCTGGGAGCCCAGGACCTCCATGGCAAGTGTCAGGATGGAGAGCAACTGTAGATCAGCAAACTCCTGTTTGCTGATTTTCCTTTGGTAATATGAACCCAGAAGCGCTCAGCTCTGAGCACCTCCAGGTTCAGTGCTGTCAAACTCCGGCCAGGATGGCCAGAGAAGAAGCTGATCACACATAGTCTGCGCTTGATCAGATTCAGTGCACAGGTGACATTAGGTCCAATAGGCTCCTGATGCCCAGATAGCAAGGATAACTTGCCACAAACTTGCAGCAGGGTTAAACTGTAATTCTTCTAACTTGCTGCACACATTCCTGGCAAGTTGTAGACTTGCAGAACCCTTGCAGCACAAGTTCTAGTTGACACTTTTTGAATTTGTAGCAAATTTGCTTGGTAAGTCTACAGCAACAGTCCTGCAGGTCTTAGCAAGTGCTCTGCAAGTGTACAGCACTTTTGCAAAGCACGTTGATCTGGAGACTTGCAATGCAGATTTGCTGTAATTGTGCAACAAAATTGTGAAGCTTGGCAAGCCTAGCAATAGTTTAGCAAGTCACTTTCAAACTTGCAGCTCAATTGCTTGCTATCTGGGTGTCTACATAACAAGAACCTGCACTATGCTATCACATAGGGGGTTTGTCAGCTGCCTTGTGATAGCAATAAAGTTAAGTGAAAAATGTTTTAAATTGTAATACATTTCTTTTTTTTAAAGCCCCTTCGTACACACACACATTTGGGAGCCTAAATTCTAAACAAATCAGACAAATCTGCACTGAAATATTTGGGCAAAGTAAAAACCAGTGTAGCGCTCCCCCCCGATGGAGCCGCTGGATATGAATTAGGCTCTCCTACCTGTTTTGCCAGCCATCAGCCTTTTTTCTCAGCTCTAGCAATACCGACACTTTAGAATGGAACAGGCTCGAGTCGTAGGGTTTTTTTTTTTTTTTTAGTATTTATTACTTAAACTAGTAGTAGTAACTAGGAAAGAGGGTTAGGGTTGCAGGATACCCAAGATGCAATAAAAATAGAGGACAGTGTCTTAACCTTTAGCAATAGTAGAATCAAGTAGCACTAGGTCGTATAAGAGTGACCAGTGATAGGTAGTAGCACCAGAGAACAGCCAGGAATAGTCCGGCGCTCTGAAGGAGAACAGTAACAGGACTTGTAGTGCACCATCTGGCTTCTCTTCTGTTCAATACCTGAGAGTATTTAACAGAAGGGATCTCTTACAGGGTCCAGGCTATAGCTCTCACTAGCTCCTCTGCGATATGGTTGCCACCTGTCCAGGATTCACCCGGACAGTCCGGGTTTTGAATGCTGTGTCCGGGTTTCATGGCAGTAGAAATCCAAACACAAGATGTCAGGCAGACAGGGGCAACCAAAATTAAGATATGGGGCTACTGGCCCCCCACTGGAAATAGTCTCAACTGTTATATTTACATATGAACATGCCACAGCTCATTCCCCCAAGAAAAAAATGTCTGCGCGTCGCAAGGGTGTTCGGGTTTCGCAACCCTACTCTGCGACATTCCTCAGTAAACAGATTCTTCCTCTAGCCCAGCTTCCATCACGGTTCTTTTCAGTAGCATTTTAGTCCTCTGGGCCCCCAGCATTTGCCACATGCTGAGGCCTAGACCAGGCATCCTGTAGCACACAGACCTCTTCCCAGGGAGAGCCCCAGCGGAGAGAGAGAGTTCTGGAAGGTGTCCCCAAACATTTATCACCTTCCTCCAGCCATACCCCTGAGTCAGCCTGCTCAGGGATTGGTCAGAGTCAGATGCATATTCACAATCTGAGGATTGATCCTTCCACACTGTATGCTGATGTCCCAACCCAGCAACAGGTAGAATCAATCAATCCACCAGACTTAGGGAAACCTTCATAACTCAGAGCAATCCGCTTCCAGACGGATTACAGTCCAGATAAAACACTAAATTTAATAGTGACATAGTAGAGGGTGCTACACCAGAAATCAAATGTACCATTCTTAATTATCTGGAGAGTGAATGTTTACAATTTAACTGCACCTTGGAGTCAGGACACACCCTGGTCACGGTGTGGCTTGCTAAGTTAGGACACTCTGTGGTTATCAGAGCCGGCATGCTAAAACCCACCCTTTGTGGCATCATACACCATGGAGCTGCTGAGAGTCTGTGATGATCCCTCTTTGGCTTGAACTGATCAGCTAAAGATGTTGGCTCTTTAATATTTTTTTATGGTATGGAGGTGTAGCTAGAACATTACTAAAAATAGCTTGCCTAATCTTGTAGCTGAATGGTTGTTTATTCAAGGTGCAGCACATCAATTATTAATTCATCAGTCATAATATTTTGGGTTTAGTGGGTGATTGTTCCATTTATTAAGGTTTGCAGCTGTATAGTTATGCTGAGGAATACTGCAAGATTCTGATAATATCCATTTGCTTATGTTTTTCTGAATGTTTATAGAATAATAAAGCAAATGTGAATTCTGTTTTTAATATGGTGCTTTGCAGTTATGATTAACATCCTTTATGTATACATATCAACATTTCTCAATGCTTTAGAATGAAAGGGGCACATTGAATGAGGGAATGATAACAATGAAGAAAACCAAGAGCATTATTTCCATTTAGAAAGTGATCATGTAGTCATTCCTTGACTAATTATGAAATTCTTGATTTATAACCGCGGTACTAGGAAAGAAACATGAAGCAAACATTGTCTCTAACCAGTGTTAGAAAATGACAGTTTGAAACTGATTGGTTATTGTGGCCAACGCCTTCATTTTCTTGGACTACATTTTATAAATAAGATCCATTGTGCTCTAATCCTTAAAAAAATAAAAATTACTATCAAAAGGATGGCAATGACATAGCGAACCAGGGGTCCGGAAATGCTGAATTCCAAATCTTGATCAGTACTACTGATTTGTAAAACATTTTTTTTCTTTTCTTTTCAATAATGCTTATTAAATTGTCATAAAGATTTTGCAGATGTTCACAGCAAATCAACAGAAAAAAAACAAAAAACAAAGATAACAGAGCATAACCAGATCAACTGTATGTGGGCAAGCCTAATGTAGCTTATAGCCAACATGGCCATAAGACAACATTCTGCTTCAATGATCACAATATCAGCTACAGGGTACAATCCACAGGACATCCAGTCCCAGGAGTAGGGGACAGGGAATAGAAAAAGAGAAGAATTAAGATACCCTGTGGGTAACTAGGAAGTACAGAAGCCACAAGGAAGACAAGGGAGCGTGAGGGACGTGGTGGAGAGGATTAATGAAATGGGTACAGGAGCACACTGTGGTTGGGTTTAGGCTCCTCAGATCAAGAATAGAAAAATTTTATTGTGAGGAGAGAGCTGGCTGAAGTTGGCCATCAAGTAGTGTGCATCCCAGGGTACCCAAACTTTCCAGAATTTAGGCTGCCAATGAAGGGCACCGTAGAGTCAACAGAGGAAGTGTTGATGGTAAAAACCGTAGCTTCGGCTTATCCTTATGATAATTTTTATCTTATGATAGTTAACGCTTGTAAACGGCAGATTAGGAATCCCTGATCGCATATATATAATAGGTGTGAATGTGGCCTAATATACACATACACCAATGCACAATAATACACTCCCCAACGTTACCCCTACACCTGCACAAATAAACTAATACACCCCCCACGCACACATAAAATAATAATCCCCCCCTCCCAAGCCCCCCCGCACACAAAATAATACACTGCCCCCAAAGCCTGTCCACACACATTAAAAAATACACTCCCCTGTTCCAAGCCGCCCACATAAAATAATACACTGTCCCCCATTCCAAGCTCTCCCTGCACGCGTAAAATAATACACTCCCCCCATTCCAAGCTCCCCCCACACACATAAAATAATACACTCCCCCCCATTCTAAGCCCCTCCACACATAAAATAATACACTTCCCCGTTCTAAGACCCCCCCACACTTAAATAATACACTTGCAGTTCTATGCCCTCCCCACACATAAAATAAAACACTCCCCCCCTTCCAATTAACACTCCCCCCGTTCCAAGCTCCCCCCGCACACATAAAATAATATACTCCCCCCATTTTAAGCCCCCCCACACATAAAATAATCCACTATAATACAATACATTAGAAGCGGCAGCAAGTCAGACAGAGCCTACCTAATTTCCTAGGTGGATAACATCCAGATCATGTATTCCTTTCCTTTCCAGACTGACTATCCCTTGACTGCCCTAATCAACCATTGGATTTCAGTTATTTCAATCAAGAAGGCTCTGTTTCACTGATGTAGGCCTTACCTCAGGCAGTCTGCATGCAAATGCCCACTCCTTCGGACTGACACTTAACTATCAAGGCATTTTATATTTGCAAACATCCTCCCAAGAGCCAGCCATCAGCCCACTGCTTGCTTCAGGGTTGAGGATTCTTAAGACGAGTACTGAGACAGAATACTGTTACGTTTTCAGGAAGCTACGTACAGCACCCAGAGTCCCAGACGATCCCTCCCACTAACAATGATGTGCCTCCTTTGCAGAGACCTAGTGATGATGTCACCTGGTCTAAAATAAGGTATGTATTTGAATAATGGAAAGGTTTTCTTTATACATTAACATTAGCTTGTTGATGAGGGGAGAAAGAAGGAACTTCAATGACAAAGTTATAGCCAAATAAATGGGCCAATAGCAGGAATGTAAAACCATAAACTGTATACAAGTGCAAGATCTGAACCAGATCAAGTTTGCAGTGTTATGCAGCATCAAAAAAACTAATCACTTAAGATATATTTTGCTTTCTTTTCCTTTAGGAATCAACTATTATAACAAGCTAATTGACAGCCTGTTGGAGATGAGTGTCACTCCACTGGTGACACTATACCACTTTGACCTGCCTCAACCAGTAGAAGACCAAGGGGGCTGGCTTTCAGAGAAGACTGTGGAAATATTTGAACAGTATGCTGAATTTTGCTATGCCACCTTTGGTGACAGAATTAAACATTGGATTACCATTAATGAGCCATATTTTGCTTCCAGACTGTCCTATGAATCAGGCATATTTCCACCAGGGAAGGAATTAATTGGCACTGGAGCTTATAGGGCAGCACACAACATGATTAAAGCCCATGCCAAAGCCTGGCACATATATAACACATCTTTTAAAAATAAACAACAAGGGCGTGTATCCATAGCTCTAGATTCTGACTGGGCAGAGCCTTTAGACCCAAATTCTTTGGCCGATAAAGAAGGTACCGAGCGATATATGCATTTTCGCCTTCATTGGTTTGCAAACCCAATCTTCATTGATGGAGATTATCCAGAAATCATGAAATCAATAATCTCTCAAAAAAGCAAGGAAGAAGGTTTGACATGTTCTAGGCTTCCTGAGTTTACAGAGGAAGAAAAAGCCATGATTAAAGGCACTGCTGATTTCTTTTGTTTAAACTATTACACTACACGAAAAGTAAAAACATTGTCAAGTGAAACATTGCCAAGTAAACGATATGGTAATTCTGACATGGGAGCAGAAGGCATCACAGAACCAAACTGGCCAATAGCTGGAGTTGAGTGGCTGGCCGTAGTGCCATGGGGCATCCGTAAACTGTTGGCATACATAAAGGTAAGATTTTCTTCTTTTTATAAACAGCTACAGTAAGTGTATGAGAACCTTCAAACCAAAGCAGACCCTTTTGGTTTATCTTGGGTGGTTATTCCATGTTGATTTTTTTTAAATTATTGCTGTTGTTATCCTGGGATGAGGCTACCTGTGGTGTCTACTCATTGCAAAGACATGAGCATTTGGGAAGTATGAGTCTGTCTATCTATACTCCTACATGTTCTGAAAAATATTGCTCTTATGCTACTGTCCATACTTTCCAACATAATGGGAATCTCAATAATTTAGTCTTTTTGTTTCACATATACTGTATAGTGTGTGAATGTGATTGGCTTAAATTGCTTGCCTAGGCAAAATAAAGTAAAAAAAAAAGAAACATATATTCAGTACATCTGTAATATACGGGTAGGTAACCTTGCACTCCAGGTGTTTTGGACTTTCAGAGGCATGATGGGATTTGTAATTTTACAACATCTGGAGAGCGAAGGTTGCCTATCTCTGTTCTAATATATGCACATTCCCCCATGTTTTGCATTTCAAGAAGTTATATTTGCCCTCTGAACTTACATATATCCTCCTGAACTTTCACACACCTGTGTTTTATTCTTAGGGCTCTCACTGCCTTATATTTATTACTTTGTAATGCTGTATTTCTACCTCACTCAGTCTTCCTGTTCCTTTTTGCTTTAGGTGTTTTCTAATATCCCCATCTTCTAAAATGAGTCCTATCTTTGCATTATGGGGGAAGGGAGCTTCCATTTTCAAGAACTCCTTATGCAGTTTAATGTTAAACCTATTTTTGTCCAGTCTCTAATTGTGGCTGCCTGTCTTCTTCAGTGTTACAGTTTATTACTGTTACGTCAGTGACCTTTGATACATTTCTCCATTGTGATCATATATCTCTTTTTGGTTGTTTCTGCGATTGCGGTCTTCCAGATCTGCCATCTCAGATTTAAGTCATACTATGTCGTCTTCCCTGTCATTGTGGGCGTCCACTAGCTCGTTGAAGGTAGAGGCGAAATCCCCCATCTTCTCCTCAATATGGGAAACTCTGCCGACCAACTCCTGCACTTCTGCTTTAAATTGCCTGGCAAGTTGTTGCTTGTCAGAATGGATAGTGCTCCTCGGTGATACTAGCATATCCTGCAATGCAGAATCTGACAGCGGCTTATCAGAAGTTGGGAACGAGTTGATGGGTGTCACTAGTTCTCTGGTGGCATCCATGGACGGATGGACAGGGCTCTCTATCTCCCCCCTGCTGGGCAAGGCCTGAGAGCCCCGGCCTCGATTTCTCTGGGCTGCCCGAGGCAATCGATTCATTACAACCTCAATATTATTTATAAACAAGTTAAACAGCATTGGCTCCAAGGCAGTACCCTGGGGCACACCACTCCCAACCTTAGACCATCTAGAGAATACGCCATTTATCACTACTCTCTGGACACTTTCAAAACGAATGTTCATTTATCTTGTTGAATGAAGTGAAACAAAATGAAATTCACTTTTCAAAGGATGCCCAATCATGTGCAGGACAAATTTAAAAAACAGGAGCTTTGCTGGCATGTAATTGGATGACTAAATTCACCTCATTCACTAAGCTAAGTCAAAATTCACTTTGCAAATAGAAAATTCACTTAGTTTAGTAAATTCTGCAAGAGTGCACGCATGATAATTTGACGATTATCCTTGCTAAATTATTAATTTAAAAAAATGTGGGGTTCCCTCCAAAAGTCATACCAGACCCTTAAGGTCTGGTGGGAATTTTAGGAGGGACACCATGTAAAAAAAAAAAAAAAAGTCAAAGTCATTCCAGGCACATACCATTCAGGATTTCTCTCTTTTTAACTGCTCCCTTACCAGCTTTTAGTGTGAATTGGTAAGAGTTACTCTACAGAGACATCGCTAAGACGTAATCACCACAGCATGAAAAGCAACATAGCACCTAGTTTTTTAATCCCAAAGATCTTATTCTTATTCTTTAAATGCTGATATTTCAGGCAATGTTCCTAATGATATAGGCTGTATCATAAGCCATAATGTCTAAAGATTATATCTACAGTGTGGATGCCAAAAACCAGTACACTATTTAAAAAGTGGACTTAAGAGTGACCAGAAAATTACAGGTTTATATGCTGGACATCAATATCACAAGCTATTTGAGACACTATTAAGGAATAGTATTCAGCATTGCCTCCCATAAAATAATATATATTACTAATAATCGTTATGGTTTTATGAGTCGTTTAAAAAAAAGTACTGCTCTAATTGGCAAGCTGAAATGCATCTATTGATCTAGCCTGCTGAACTCACATTATTTACAGTGAAAACCCGCAATGGGTATTTTATACAGCAGAATGCTAAAATGGGCTTTAGCATGAACAATCTATTTTTGAGATAAAAGGAAATAAAACCTAGTTATACAGCAGTGTAATATTGCAGAGTCTTCCCTCCGCATGAGCAGCAGCAAACCCCCATCCTTTTACACTGTCTTGGCAGGCAAATGTTGGCCATACACTAGACAATTTTGTGGTAATATCAACGACCGCAGGCAAGTCTCTAACAGTAAGTAAGCCTAAATTAGGAGGTACACATAAATATTTAATAAGACAGGTGCAGTCCTGTCATGTCCTGTAAATGAAACATTAACCTGAACAGAGCAGTGATTCTCCAGGTCTGCTCTATTCAACGAAATTATTTTTTAATAATAATTACATTTAAAATAATCATAATGCCCAATACTAAAGGCAGAAAGTGAAAACTATTGGTTCCCTACAATGGTGGTCAGTGGAGAGATGCCAGCTTGCTATAAAAGTCAATTGGAAAAGTGCCCCCTTACATTGGTGGTCAGTGGAGAAGGCCCTGTTAAATGGGTGATTAGTGGGAGAAGGGTCCCTTATATTGTTGGTCATTGAGAGTCAGTGAAAGAAGGGCCTCATTACATGTTGGTCAGCGGTAAGAATGCTTATTACATTAGTGGTCATTGGGAAGAATGCCCCCTTACAGATAGATAAAAGAATATTGGTGCCAATGATTACATATCCGAAAGATATAAATTGCTAAAGGAACCCCTAGAAACCTGTCAAAGAACCTTAGGGTTCCATGGAACTTTGGTTGAGAAAGGCTGATGTAAAGTGAAAAGTAGAAATCACATTAATTCAAGAGAACACATTAATTGAACCAATTGCAGAACAAGGGAGGTTTATTCTCTTACCTCCTTTCAAGTTGTCACCACTGACTCTCTTAATTTTCCTTAGGCAGAATAGAGTGTTATTTTCTCTAGGTATTGTTAGCAGATGGAGTGTAGCAGTGTTTTCTAAGGAAGATCGCTCTCCCAGATGATTATGTGACAGGTAGAGAGTAATTCATGCTGAGCAATCATGCGCTGGCCTCTGCAAGATCATAAGTTGACATGAGGGTTACCTGCCTGGCTTTACAGCTAAAAAGTCAAAACATTGTGACAAATTGTGCTCATGACTAGGATATTGAAAGACCTGGGGTACCCTGAGATAGCAAACAGAAATTTGTTCTGCAGTGAGTTATGGTTAATTTGATGAATGGTGGGAGTGGCTGTAAACACTACAGACATATTCCAAAGTCCTTGTACCCACAAAATACTGCTATCAGTGGTGAATGAAGAAATTACCCAATATCAGTGTTAAGATGGAGCTTTTCCCAGTTCGAATGTGGTGTATTGTTGTAATATTACATTATGTCCACTAGATGGAGCTAAAGAGCACAGGAAATAATACCGTATTTTCTTTGCTCCTTATCTCCATCTAACAGCCGTAATGTAATATTAAAATACTACATTCAAACTGCGAAAAAAATACATTAAGAACATACATTTTTGCCATTATTTGCCCCAATTTTTTTTCGCAGGGTGAAGGGCCCTGCACGTTGTTTAGAAATAGACCAAATAGTGTGATCCTGAATTGTTCACGTCCCACAACACACATCAATTCAGAAGCCTCGGCAAGGGATTTTTTTCCATAAAACCAATGTTCTCCATGAAAATAATAAGTGCATGCGTGACAGAAAGCCACTGGACCTGAGATGCCAATATTAAAATCAAAAATTGTCTGAAGACACTAGCTGACGGCTGTTCAATTTTTACTACTTTTTTTCTCATGCTCCTCAGTCCCATTTTTTTTTATCTCTTTGCAGTAATCTAATGTTCAGAAAGATCTGTAGCGCGAATGGCTCTGTGAAATGGTTATTAATAGACTTCTTAATGTTTAGGCCGGACAGGTAACAACACCCTCTCCCCATATAGCCTACTGCCTCTCAGCCATTGTGAAGTGTGGAGAATGCTGGGAGGGTGAGCATAGTGGGAAAAGAGCATTTTCCAGCATGTCTGATTGGTCCTTTAGAGGTCACATGGCTAACTGAAGGCTTTTGGGAAACCTAACTGATACAAATAAGACTGAGAATTGGATTTGACTCAGGACATCTAAATTCTTTAAATCTGGCCCAAATATAACACTGTCCGAATGTTGGGACTTTAATGCATACTCATAGAATATGAGTAATCGGGATCATACATCGTGTCTACAGCAACATAAAGCAGAACTGCAGCCAAGCAGCTAAAATACAGATATGACCACATCTACTCATCGGACGGGGAATAATGCCATGCTGGTAGAGATCTCCTTAAATCCTTCTAAACACTAGCTCCAGTGACATAAGCAGAGCTGACTGACAGCACTTTACAATGCAACCAAATCATGTCTGAACTTTCATTTGCATTGTATATTCATCTATAATATTCTCCACTCAGTGTGTCTATCACAGTATCAAGACAGCAGTGTGATCTATAGCAATGGCAGCTGAAGCCTGCTCTGCATAGCACTTGGTACAGTTCCTGCTTGCTTCCTAGTGTAGGCAACTCCCCTGATGTCTGCATACAAGAGATTATGAGAATTTAATATAAAGATAAAAATTTGGTAATTTCAGTACTGCCATTAAAAATCCATTTAATAATTTTGACCAAATACCACTATATCAAACCTTGTTTTTTAAGAATGGTTTATCACTGTCCTGCAAGAGTGGCAGTGACATAGGTGCGGACATTGTATCACACTGCCAGGGGTGTCTGAGCAGCTGCAGCAATAAAAGGAACATTTGAACCATGTGGATACAATGTGACAGTTGTTATAATCAATGGCAGTGTTACAGTTTGGCCCAACCCCTGTGACTGTCATTTTAGCTGGACAGTGATAAATAAAATAAAACATGAATACAGGCTTGGAAAATAAAACAAAAAATTCATAAAATGAACATTACCATTGTAAGTATTGACACTCAGTCATCAGAGTACAATGGTGTTACATTGGATGGACCTGTGTCTTTATTTAACTTTACCAGCTATGTAACTATGTAACAGTAGTTCTTTAAGGAGAAACTGTCTCCTTTTCCAATTCAGGGCAGAGTGAACGTGTCTGGTGATTGCCAACCCTCTAGCAAGGTATTTTCTCCTATCCATGCTTGTTCACTGTTTTTCTGATGGAGTGGGGCTTCTAGGTATATGGGGATATGTAATTTTCTCTATGTGACATTACTTGGGCCGAACACCATCATGTGGGGAGTTTGTGACCTCATCTACACAAGTAAGCTCTAAAGTGGCCATAAACGTATTCATTTGTGATCAATCCAGGTTTCAGCAGTTACAAACAAGTGATTCCTCATCAATTGAAATAGTAAATGATGTAGGATTTATGGATTATTCCCTTCCTATCAAAAAAGATTTATTGAAAATGATTAGTTAATTGATTTGTATTACGATTGGTTGTCTGACACACACAATGATATTCATTAGATCGTTCAGAAGTGATCAATAAAATTCTGCCACGTCCAATCTACTTGCCAGCGTTGAAATCGATTGAAAGTTTACTAAATCCATTGAATACAGGGTCTGTGGTTTATAAATCGTATTAAATTCATTTTATTTACATTGAATGAGTGATTGAATAATCATATTGATACATGTGTGGTCACTTTAACACGGGAACTTAAGTACAGTATACACACTTAAAATTTTGGATGACTTTCTAATAGTTGATGGGGGTCAAATCAATGATAAATTTCGACCGCAGTGAGGAAAAAAATCACAGGAGCATTTTGGAAAATGTTTTTCGATCGAACGCAATTCTACCAGTGAGTATGGTTTTCGTTCAGGAAACTCTATTTATTCCAAAATCAAATGGTAAATCAAAATAAAAATCAAACGAAATTTCAAATAACATTCGTCAAGTGTCTGATGGCATTATCAAACATTCCAACGAGATTTATGGTACTGACGTTCATTCAAAATCTACCGGTGTACACCCTACTTTACCAATGATGGACTTTTGCAGAGGGAGGTGGCAAGGAACATGGATAGATATGCATACCTTGCTGGGGGGGCTGGTTGTCAGCAGACACTCTATGTGGAAAGCGTAGAGTCTTTGTACTTAAACTGGCCATACACCTATAGATTATCTGCAGATTTTCTATGGTCAGATGGAAAAATGCAACAGATTCCTCCATCTACGCTAAACTGTTTGTATGGAGGAATCTCCCACTGGGCCAAGCTCAGTATCTTGCTAGTCGGCCCCACTGGCTGTCAAAATACCTTAACAATCTCTGAACAATACAGGCATTGTTCAGGTACTTTGACAGCCAGCGGGGCTGACTAGCAAGATACTGAAGCTTGGCCCGGCGGGAGATTCCTCCATCCACACAGTTTAGCGTAGGTGGAGGAATCTGTTGCACTTTTCCCATCTAAACATAGAAAATCTGCAGATAATCTATAGGTGTATGGCCAGCTTTATAGGCACACTGCGCATCAGCACACTTGCCTGTAGTCCTACTATGGGAGCAAAAATGGCAGGGTGACATTGACACTGCTGCTGCATTAGAAGGCAGTGGGCGACTGTTGTCACCCTACAAGTGCTGTTGGAATATGAATGACTGGCAGGATCATCAGGTAAAATGTTAGACAAATCAAAGTTATAATTTTTCAAATCAGAGTTAAATGTGCACAGGCCTGTGGGTAAAAATTCAAGCTGAACTCTGGGGAGCATTCAGAAAATTACCCTTGTACTGTACTCAAAGCCTTCATTTGTGATTAAACATTTGGACCTGTTTTTATAAAACCTTACTGTTTTTACCCCAGGAGCTGACCATCCAAAAAGATTTTTTTTTCTCATAAAATGCTCTTTTAGGCTGAAAATTGTCTTCTTAGCTAAAAGGCTTTACTTTGGTTAAAACAAAGGTCTTGCTGTTTCAGTCCTGGAATCAGGTGAGTATATCCTCTTTATTTTAGACTCTAGACCAAAATGAGCACTTAACCCTTGCAGTGCGGGGGTAGCCCCACTACAAGGGTTAATTTTAAAAATGCTTTAATTCTTGGAGTTCCTTGTCTTAATTGCTAATATTTCCAGAAGGAAATCTTGGTATAGATGGCACTGAACACATACACGGAACTTGTTCTGTGCTTTTCATTCCTTCCAAGCTACAATGCTTTCCCCTTGTTATTGAATGACCGAGGTCTGCTACAAAATGTTCTCATTTAGTAATTCATGGTAATGTCTCTCCTCCTAGCACTGTTTTGGAAACCCAGAAATTTTCATCACTGAAAATGGATTTGCTCAGACAGATCCTCCTGCTCTCCAGGATGTCCATAGATGGGGATATTTTCAGGAAACATTGATGGAAGTTCTAAAAGGTAAGATGATCTTATTACTTTATCACAAATTCTTTGTATTCACAGTGAGATCAGTGTGAGCTAAGCTGCTGAGAGAATTGCTTAAATACCTTCATTGACGCACAGCCTTTGTAGCTTGACCCATTTATTCCTATATATGGTCTATTTTCATGGCATCCCCCAGCAATGAATTGGACAAGCTAACACACACAGTAGTAGCTGGAAGTTTTTGCTGGAGTCTAAAACAATTTTTACCTAAATTTTCTTACCACAAAATAAGAAATAGGAAAATAGAAAATAATTAATAAAAAATACCAAAAACCTCCAAGAAACTATTGCAATGTTGCAGTGCCACTGTGGCATTCAATCTTTTAATACAGATGTCCTGGGTATATAGGGTTCAAAATAATTGATTCCAAGGATAGTGATATTGATGATAATCCTACTGTTATTGATAGCATAATAGGGAGAAAACTTTTTGCACCTACCTATATAGCACAGTATATGAATTTACTAGAACTCAATTTTGAGAAGAGTTAATTGTGCCTAAGCAGTACATAAAAAAAATTAACATGTTGCCTTAAATTCCTATAAAAAAATAGCATTGTACTCCCGGTCTATTACTTGGGGTACAGAAGCTGAAATGACAATTGGGCCTTTAAATGGGTTCAAGGAGTCCGGACAGAAATATATATTTTGTATTATTTGTTGAGTTCAATGCAGAGCATGGAGTGCATTTACCTGAAGAGTGTTGTGGCAATGTCAAACCCAAACTAAACAGGCTGCATGTAATCTGATCCTAGAGCAACTCACTGCTGTCTTCTTTGTATTTAATTTCTCTTCATGGACTTTGGTGTCTTTCTGCAGACCCCCTCCCCATTTCCTTTTATGGTTATGTGTCTAATTTCCTGAAATTAAGATGCCAGGATGTCAGCCCAGTTTTTGAGAGGTATGGAGAGATGTGTAAACACAGTGTGTGAAAACCATCTAATAACACGCATATCTTGCATTAAAAGATAACCCTTACCAATCCACTCTCTAGGGGGAAATGGGAGCTTCTGATGTGGAAGGGGGCACTCTAATGTGAAGAGTATATAGAGAGAGACTTGTTGCACTCCTTACCGGATACCCCGATGACAGGGGAGGGTGCTTGTAGTGACTGCGGATGACACCGCTAGTTACATGGATCATTTGAAGAGATGTCACCAGCACACCAAAAATCCTTTCAGGATAACCATGTGATTATGACATGGTTCTTATTAAATGAACACATGGTTATCCTGAAAGGATTTTGGTGTGCTGGTGACATCTCTTCAAATGATCCATGTAACTAGCGGTGTCACTAGCGCAATGTGAAGAGGGCTCCTGATGAGAAGGGGGGCTTCTAATATGAATGCGGGGACTCTGATCTGAAGAGGGCCCCTGCTGTGAAAGGGAAAGGGGGGCTTCTGGTGTGATGGGGGGACTCTGATGTGAAGGGGGCTCCAGATGATAAGGGGACTTCTGATATGATAGGGGCATTTTGGAGGAGCTGTTTCTGTGAACGTGGGGGGCTTCTGGTGTGAAAGGTAAGGACTCTAATGTGAAGGGAGGCTCCTGATGGGAAAGGGGACTCTAATGTGCAGGGTGGCTTTCGATATGAAAGGGGGGCTTCTGGTTTGAAAGGGGGGACTCTTCTGTGAAAGGAGGGGAATCTAATGTAAAGGACGGGATCCAAATGTAAAGGGGGGCTTCCGATATAAAAACGGGGACTCTAATGTAAAGAGGGAAATAATTACTTTTTTTTTGGTGTGTGTTTTGTCCCCCATAGAATCCATACCAGACTCCTGTCTAGGATAAGGGTCGTGTGTTATATACTTGTGCCACACGTCCTTTTTTGCTCACTTAAATTGTTTACATTTTAGACTGGGGTTCCTCAAGGTTTTGCATTCCTTTTAAAGGTTATGTGACTGAAAAGAGGTTGGGAAACGCTGCTCTACTCAGTAATTTCATATCGTGTCCATACAGTCCATTAAGTCTCCATTCACACTTGTGTGTCTGCATTTTTTGTGTTTTATTAGCTTATGTTTGTTGCGTTTTTTTCATGCATTGTAATGTGTTTTTATTTGTTTTTATTTGTTTTGCTGCATGATGCATTTTTGTTTTAGCCAATGAAGATGAAAAGTAGTATAGGCTGCTAGGGGTGGGGGCTTGCTGGAATGTGTAAAAAGGCACGAAAATGCACGTGACATGCATTTCTATGAGTTCCTGAAGTCTTTGGGGCTCAAAATGCACCTAAAGAAACACCTTCACCTTTTTGAAAGGTGCACTGCATCACAACACATAGATGTGAACAGGCCCCATAGTAAAGAATGGGATTCCTTTTGTTATGCATTGTCGTGCCGCGGCGGGCACATTTCAAATTGCACAGGTGTAAACAGGGATGTAATCAGCAAATATGTGGAGTGGAAATACGGTTCCCTGTACGTTTTTTTCTGCAGTATACATGTGACCTGCAGGGGGCAGTGTTCTGCTACATCTCCCATTGTCTACTTAAAATGCAAAGTTAAAAGTCCCTGAGATTCCAAAAAAACTCGCCCAACTTCAAGATGCTAAGCATGTACACCTGTTCAAAAGTTGTTACAGGAAACAGAGATTAAGTTGATATGAAAAATGTCTTCACTTAAATAAAAAGCTTTTCCAGAACTTTCCGTTCATTAACATACCCAATGTATAAAAATGACTGTAATAAATGCGGGGATAAAAGCTCTTCAAGCAACAAAGACAGCTTTGTTCCTGGCTAAAGCCCCTCGCTCACAGAATCCTTTTAAAGTGGAGAAATGCATGTGCTGTACCGTCCAGGCTGCTGCTGCTGCTGATGTTGCTGCAGTCTTAAGGTGCCCACACACTGCATGATTCTCGTACGAGAATCGTGGGAAATCCCACGATTGTACGATAATCGTGCAGTGTATGGAAGGCGTGCAACCGTTTCTAATGTAAGGTCGCACGACTTTTGTATTTCGAGCATGTTGGAAAACCAGCTGAGAATCGTACGAATTTCGGCTGGTTTTAAGCCCTCGTTCACACCTGAACGTTTTGTAGCGCGTTCTACGCGAGACGAACGCTCTACAAAACGCTCTACAAAACGCTCTACAAAACGCTCAAACATCTAAATCCCATTGTATTCAATGGGTCTGGTTCACACCTTGGCGTATTTCAGCCCGTCCCTAACGCGCTACAAAACGGCCCACGCCTGAAAAGGTACATGTACTACTTTGGGCCGTTTTTGTTGCGCGTTTCCATTGGGATCTAGCCAAGTAGCCCTCGGAAACGCGCGTTTGTCGCGCAATTTTTTTTACCGCGATAAAAAAAACGTGCGACAGACGCGCATATGCAATACGCCTAGGTGTGAACCAGGCCTTAACATGATCGAGAGATAACAGCTGAACGGGCCGGTTCAGCATTGCAGTCATCGGTTCAGCATTGTAGTCATCGGAAGCCCGCCCCTCAGGGGGGCGGGCTTGCGATGATCGCAAGTACGATCTGCATGTCCAAGATGGGCAGATTGTACGGTTTTTTAAGTACTTTACAACCCTCGCAAGACAAAAGTCTTTTGCAAGGGTTGTAAAGTGTATGGGGACCTTTACACATCTTTTGCCCAAACCGGGATTGTTAAAAGCTGTGAAGCTGTGTGAATGTGCTGAATCACAAGAAGCGCTGCTGCTCGATGTAATAAGCTGAACATTTTGAATATTTGAATGACTTCCTGCAGATGATTTAGCTGATATATTGAAGTGGCAGGGAGACCTGAATTAGGGGTGTACATCAGTTCAAACATTTACTAATCCTTGCAGAAACTTGGTGGAGTTTTGTGATATAGATCAAAGCATATCTAAACCACAAAAAAACATAATAAAAAAATTTAATATATTGCCAGCAACACATTTCCTGTTTTAGGGTGTCTCCACTCTTTGGGGGAGTAATGGAGCCCCCCTTGGACAGCAGCATTGTCACCCTGTGGAGAGGGTAGTGTTAAATGCACTTGCAGATTTAGATGGACTTGACTAACAAGTTAAATCCAAACTCCAGCTGACACTTTTAAAGTGAACCTTTACCCCCTTTGACTAAAAATCACATCAGCATACAGCTCTGCATGCTGATATGAAATCATCTTACATTCATTATTTTAACAAACATATTTTTATTTTACTTACAATTTCTTTTTTTTATACTTCCTGGTCCACTTTGGCACAAATGATATAATGTACTCAAGCGCTGCATCCTGGGAAGGTTACATCAGCAGAGCATGGGAAATCTAATCTGTAATCTCATGACATATCAAGGAAAGGCATTTTCCTCCCCTGAGAGCATGTGCACCTGATATCTTGTTCTGCTGCTGTAGACCATCATTTTTTTAAGGTTCAACCTGTGATGTGTTCAAAGGTTCCTTACTCCACTGTGCTGTATTAAAGTGCCCAACTTTTTAGAGGGGTTGACACCTAAATTATTGTCAGTCATTTTGGTGTCACCTGGATGCGGGCCGCACCCCCCTTGTGATGCCACTGCTAGGTCATGCTTCTTCTCCATTCTGTTTGTTTGAGCAACTATTTTTCATCTTGACCATGCATGCATTCCTTATGTACTGAACCACAGCCACATGATCTGTTGCTTGTCTGCATTGAGGAGTAGCCACTTTGTGTGTGTGTGTTTTAGATGTAGTATCTTCCTATTCCAAGCTTTTAGAATAGGGTTCAACATTCTGATTGGAAACTTAAAAGATGAACACCAGGCAGATAAGAAATGTAATCCCTAGTTAGATATTAGTAACAAAAAATATTTAAATGTATTTTAAATGTAGCTAGTGTAAGTACCTGAATTCTATGTTTTCATCTTCCCATAGAGGAAGGCTCAGCACTCTAAGCCAGGAAGTCTGGTATTGTTTTAGCAGTGTCCAATCAGCAGACTGGGGAAAGTCATCAGCCACGCTTTACTGCTTAACTGCATTGACTGTGCTGTCTGGCAGGGGTCAGAAAAATGGCAAC